AAAGCTCTACCACTTTAATGAAGGCACAAGGTTGGGTCTCACTAAACCAAGATCAAAATGTAGAGAGAGAGAGAGAGTTCTAGAGAGAGGAGCTCTCAAATTTGGGTTTTGAAAAGCTAGAGAGAGAGAACGGCCCGAAAAGGTGATTCAAAATGCAAAAATTCAGATTGATATACAACATAGTCTGCTCGAGCGTCAAACACAGACCCCCGCTCAAGTGTGAAAAGCAATGCTCGAGCGTCGAATGCACACTTCCAGAAGTTCTACAGACGAAGGTCCCCGCTCGAGCGTCTGATGACCTGCAGAGAAAAGTACTGAGGGTTGAATAATCCCGCTCGAGCGTCAAACTCCCCGCTCGAGCGGAGGAACAAAAGCAAAGGGCCCGCTCGAGCGTCGAAAGCCCGCTCAAGCATGAAGGCCAAAATTTGGGCATCAACTCTTTGTTTCTAAACACAACCAACCTGTTTCAAACCTGCCCAACACAACCAAAGACTCAAATACAAATACAAAGAGTAGAGGATGGAAACAAGAATAAGACAACAACCAACGTCCACGGGCCTGGGCCCAGAATACAATTAAACAATGAAGGGAAAACCGGAATCGCTATAATTTTAAGTAAACTATGGATGCCTGTTGCCTTTCTACTAACAATTAGAAGCCAAAATATTGTGATTTTTTTTATTTAAAAAAAGAAAAAGAAAAAAGAACTCCTAATGTGGAAAGGAGAAACATAGAAATAAACATTAAATTAAAAGATATTGCAGATCATGTGATTTTCCAAAGAAAGTATTCCATGTAAATCCATTTATTATTATTTGGCATATAAATGTTAATAATATTGCTTTTGATTTTTACATTAATGACATCAAAATTTAAGGGGCGAACGCGCATCTACAGTCTTTCACATGTTGTGTAGTGTAAAAATCTTGAGCAATATTATTAACATTTATATGCCAAATAATAATAAATCAATTTACAAGGAATACTTTCTTTGGAAATACACATGATCGGTTGTATATTTTAATTTAACGTCTATTTCTATGTTTCTCCTTTCCACATTAGGAGTTCTTTTTTTTTTTTATAAAAAAAAATCACAATTTTTTGGCTTCTAATTGTTAATAGAAAGGCAACAAGCATCCACAGTTTACAAAAAAAAAAAAATTCTAATGTGGAAAGGAGAAACATAGAAATATACATTAAATTAAAAGATATGACTAATCATGTGATTTTCCAAAGAAAGTATTCCATGTAAATCCATTTATTATTATTTGGCATATAAATGTTAATAATATTGCTTTTGATTTTTACATTAATGCAATCAAAATTTAAGGGGCGAACGCACATCTACAGTCTTTCACATGTTGTGTAGTGTAAAAATCTTGAGCAATATTATTAACATTTATATGCCAAATAATAATAAATCGATTTACAAGGAATACTTTCTTTGGAAATACACATGATCGGTTATATATTTTAATTTAACGTCTATTTCTATGTTTCTCCTTTCCACATTAGGAGTTCTTTTTTTTTTTTATAAAAAAAAATCACAATTTTTTGGCTTCTAATTGTTAATAGAAAGGCAACAAGCATCCACAGTTTACGAGAACTTTATATTAAGTGATATTTTTTTACAATTTTAAGTAAACTGTGGATGCTTGTTGCCTTTCTATTAACAATTTGAAGCCAAAAAATTGGGATTTTTTTTAAAAAAAAACAAAGAACTCCTAATGTGCAAAGGAGAAACATAAAAATAGACATTAAATTAAAAGATATGACAGATCGTGTGATTTTCGAAAGAAAGTATTCCATATAAATCCATTTATTATTATTTGGCATTAATGTAAAAATCCATTTATTATTATATGACACTAAATCCATTTTGATCATGTGACATTAAATCCATTTATTATTATATGACAGATGTCATTCATGTTAAAATCTAGAGCAATATTATAAACATTTATATGCCAAATAATAATAAATGGATTTACATGGAATACTTTCTTTGGAAAATCACATGATTAGTCATATCTTTTAATTTAATGTATATTTCTATGTTTCTCCTTTCCACATTAGAAGTTCTTTTTTTTTTATAAAAAAAAAAAAAAAAATTTTGCTTCTAATTGTTAATAGAAAGGCAACAAACATCCACAAATTATGTGAACTTTATATTAAGTGATATTTTTTTACAATTTTAAGTAAACTGTGGATGCTTGTTGCCTTTCTATTAACAATTAGAAGCAAAAAAATTGTAATTTTTTTTTTTTTAAAAAAAAAAGAACTCCTAATGTGGAAAGGAGAAACATAGAAATAGACATTAAATTAAAAGATATGACAGATCATGTGATTTTCCAAAGAAAGTATTCCACGTAAATCCATTTATTATCATTTTGCATTAATGTAAAAATCCATTTATTATTATATGACATATGTCATTAATGTAAAAATTTAGAGCAATATCATCAACATTTATATGCCAAATAATAATAAATGGATTTACATGGAATACTTTCTTTGGAAAATCACATGATCTGTCATATCTTTTAATTTAATGTCTATTTCTATTTTTCTCCTTTCCACATTAGGAGTTCTTTTTTGTTTTTATAAAAAAAATTAAAAAAAATAAAAAATCACAATGTTTTGGCTTCCAATTGTTAATAGAAAGGCAACAAGCATCCACAGTTTATGAGAACTTTATATTAGGTGATATTTTTTTACAATTTTAAGTAAACTGTGGATGCTTGTTGCCTTTCTATTAACAATTAGAAGCCAAAAATTTGTGATTTTTTTTTTAAAAAAAAAAGGAAAAAAAAGAACTCCTAATCTGGAATGGAGAAATATAAAAATAGACATTAAATTAAAAGATATGACAGATCGTCTGATTTTCTAAAGAAAGTATTCCATGCAAATCCATTTATTATTATTTGGCATATAAATGTTAATAATATTGCTCTAGATTTTTACATTAATGACATCAAAATTTAAGGGGCGAATGCGCATCTCTGTCATTTACAGGTTGTGTAGTGTAAAAATCTAGGGCAATATTATAAACATTTATATGCCAAATAATAATAAATGGATTTACATGGAAGACTTTATTTGGAAAACCACATGATCTGTCATATCTTTTAATTTAATGTCTATTTCTATGTTTCTCCTTTTCACATTAGGAGTTCTTTTTTTAAAAAAATAAAATAAAATAAAATAATATAAAAATCTCAATTTTTTGGCTTCTAATTGTTAATAGAAAGGCAACAATCATTCACAGTTTACGAGAACTTTATATTAAGTTATATTTTTTTACTATTTTAAGTAAACTATCGATGTCTGTTGCCTTTCTATTAACAATTAGAAGCCAAAATATTGTGATTTTTTTTATTTTTTTTATTTTTTTATTTAGAAAAAAAAAGAAAAAGAACTCCTAATGTGGAAAGGAGAAACATAGAAATAGACATTAAATTAAAAGATATTGCAGATCATGTGATTTTCCAAAGAAAGTATTCCGTGTAAATCCATTTATTATTATCTGGCATATAAATGTTAGTAATATTGCTTTAGATTTTTACATTAATGACATCAAAATTTAAGAGGCGAACGCGCATCTACTGTCTTTCACATGTTGTGTAGTGTAAAAATCTAGAGCAATATTATTAACATTTATATGCCGAATAATAATAAATGGATTTACAAGGAATACTTTCTTTGGAAAATCACATGATATGTCATATATTTTAATTTAATGTCTATTTCTATGTTTCTCCTTTCCACGTTAGAAGTTCCTTTTTTTTTTTTAAAAAAAAAATCACAATTTTTTGGCTTCTAATTGTCAATAAAAAGGCGACAAGCATCTACAGTTTACGAGAACTTTATATTAAGTGATATTTTTTTACAATTTTAAGTAAACTGTGGATGCTTGTCGCCTTTCTATTAACAATTTGTAGCCAAAAAATTATGATTTTTTTTTTTTAAAAAACAAAGAACACCTAATGTGCAAAGGAGAAACATAGAAATAGACATTAAATTAAAAAATATGACAGATCATGTGACTTTCTAAAGAAAGTATTCCATGTAAATCCATTTATTGTTATTTGGCATTAACGTAAAAATCCATTTATTATTATATGACATTAAATCCATTTTGATCATATGACATTAAATCCATTTATTATTATATGACAGATCTCCTTAATGTAAAAATCTAGTGTAATATTATTAATATTTATATGCCAAATAATAATAAATGGATTTACAAGGAATACTTTCTTTGGAAAATCACATAATCTGTCATATCTTTTAATTTAATGTCTATTTCTATTTTTATCATTTCCACATTAGGGGTCCTTTTTTTTTTTTTAAAATCACAATTTTTTTTAATAGAAAGGCAACAAGCATCCACAGTTTATGAGAACTTTATATTAAGTGATTTTTTTTACAATTTTAAGTAAACTGTTCTGTGGATGCTTGTTGCCTTTCTATTAATAATTAGAAGCCAAAAAATTGTGATTTTTTTTATAAAAAACAAAAAAAAAACTCCTAATGTGGAAAGGAGAAACATCGAAATAGATATTAAATTAAAAGATATGACAGATCACGTGATTTTTCAAAGAAAGTATTCCATGTAAATCCATTTATTATTATTTGACATATAAATGTTAAAAATATTGGTCTAGATTTTTACATTAATGACATCAAAATTTAAGGAGCGAATGCATCTATTATTTTTCACAGGTTATGTAGTGTGTAAGTAGTTTTGTATGAACACAAAATTGGTTTTGAAACGATGGAAAATTTAAAATAGAGATAGAAAATAATATCTCAACTTTTTTTTTTTCCTTAGTCTCTCTTGCCGTAAATCTATTCATGACACTTGGTGTCATTTTCTTTCATCTTCACCACTGAATTTCATCTTTTTCTTTTATATACCAGAGTTGTTTAGCTCCTCCATTCTTTCTCTCTCTCTCTCCTTGTACCATTTTGAGTACTTAAACTTCTAATTAAGCATGGCTGATGAGATGGTTACATCAAAACAATCGTCCCAGGCCAGTACTTTTCGATCAATCAACATCTTGGTTGTAGATGATGATACCACATGTCTTTCCATTGTTGCTGCTATACTTAAATCATGGAATTATGAAGGTACTAATGTAAATATAGTTTGTGAGTGTTTTTTTTTTGGGTAAATATATTTTGTGAGTGTTTTTGTTAACTTATGTTTTAGGGATCTTTTAAATGTTAGTGATTTTGAAAAGCTTTGTTTGCATTTTCTTCTTCTTTTTTTTTTTTTTTTTCCTCCCAGAGATTTCTTCCTTTTCTTTCAAACCACTTTTCGCATAAGAAGTTGAAGTGAGAATTTATCACAAGGTATACAGTTGGGATGTCTATGTTTAATATTTTTGGAGATTAAAAATTAAATAAAGAAAAAAAAGGTTGTTCATCTTCTCCATTTTATGTCCCGTGGACCAAAAAAAAGATTTGTTCTCCTTTTTAATGGCATCTCTCTCTCTCTCTCTCTCTCTCTCTCTCTATATATATATATATATATTGTTTCTTTCCACAATTTCTCCGTTTTTCCTTACAAGTTTATTTTCTTCACTGCCTTACAAATTTATTAGCAAATAAATCTATTTCTCCATTCAGCAATTGAAATAAAATGAAAACTTGTTGCTTGCTTATTACTAAATTAATTATGAGTTCCTCATAAAATTGGATCTAACAGTAAATTTGGTTGTCGGTTGTATACATAAATTCATCGGACCTTTTTTTTTTTTATACAATTTCATCAAAATAATTTATTAGTGAAATTGGACGGGATTCATGTACATGCAACTCAGATCCTTGACTTTGTGTTATTTCAAATGATCTATATTTATGTTGATTGTCTATGACCTATTATTGTTCATTTCATCTTATTTATACGAGTTTAGAAGGAGTGTATGCATTTCAGATTTTTGGTTTTGGGAAGTTCTAACACACGATTTACTTCTTCGTTTATCTCACTTACCAAATCGTTCTTGTGCTCTATTCTCAGTTGTGACAGTCAAACATCCAATCGAAGCTTTGTGTACCCTAAGAATTAGGGGTGGCTCCTTTGATCTTGTAATAACGGATGTGCATATGCCAGACATGAATGGATTCGAGTTACAAAAGAAAATTCATGAAGAGTTCAAGTTACCTGTAGTTTGTAAGTATCATTTTAAACTATAAGTGCCAACATAGTTGATATGTATTATTATGATGCAATTTTAGTCAAGTCCTCATACTTTTTTCATTGTCAATTTTTATTTTATTTTATTTTGATGATAAAAATATATATATTACTATTAGAAAAAAGAAATTACAACTTTCGCATTGTTGCATTGAAATTGATGATCCAATAGAGTTGACTAAATTTTTTTTTTTGGCCCCCCAATTTGTCAAGCCTTTTTGGCTATCGATCCTTTTCTATATTGGATCCTAAGAAGAGAAACAAAGATACTTTTACTGTCATACTTTAATTTCTTTCCCACTAATTCATAGCCGCTATGTAGCCTTTTTCACTTGGGATAAAATTATAAAGGTTTTTAATAGCAAATATGTGACGAAACCACCGGTATCACATCACCGCACCTCAACACAGTCAATAAGGAGAAGTTAAGTTAGTCTATGTTTTGCTCAACATTGTGGTATGGGAGAAGTTAAGCTGGTCTGCTACGCTCTGTTCTGCTCAGTTGTGGATGCACTTTTTGGTTGTTTTACTTGCTGATTCTGTTACTCTTGTTCTTCTGATTGTTAGTTTCTCACCAACTAGAGCTTGAAGTTTGAGTTAGCTCCAAGCTCCTCTTTATTGATGTACTGTATCATACTTAGCATGCTTTCATCAATAAAGATTTTCTTCGGAAAAGAAAAACACAGTCAATGAGGAAACTTTTTCGTATGTAGTCCATGGGGATACGTAATTGTAACTTAAACATTTGCAAATTTTGTGTAGTATATATTAAACTTTTGTTGGGTTGTGGCCAATTTTTTTTTTTCTAATGCAGTTATGTCGGTTGATGACAAAGACGGTATCATATTAAAGGGGTTACAAAGCGGGGGTGCATTTTTCATAGTAAAACCGATTGCCCCAGATGAGCTGAAAAATTTATGGCAATATACAGTTGCAAAGAAGAAAGGCAAAACCATTATCGAGGAAATTGGGAGTAACGAAGAAATGTCGGTTCAAGAAACATCCCAAACTGACAAAGGTTCCAATGAAGATGTAGAGTCTACATCGTCTGCAAACAAGTATAGGAAAAGCACAAAGGAGTCTAAGAGAAAAGCCCTGCCAAAGGACACAAACAATTTTGACAAGGGAGAAAACAAGGACGATTGTACTACCCCGAAGAAGGCAAAGGTTGTCTGGACAAATGCACTCCACGGCCAGTTTTTGGAAGCCATTAGAAGCATAGGCCTTGAAAGTAAGAGATTTCTCTGCTAATTTTTCTAATTCTTTGATCTTGACTTGTATATTCATAGCTCTCCCATTTACTTTATGATGATACCCTTGTTGATTGTTTTTTTTTTCTTTTCTTTTTCTATTGTTTGTTTGTTTGTTTGTTTTGTTTTGTTTTTTTTTCTTTTTTCTCTCTTAATGATATCCAGGGGCTGTTCCAAAGAAAATTCTTGAGCTCATGAATGTGCCAGGAATAACTAGAGAAAATGTTGCCAGTCATTTACAGGTTTGTTATATTTCGTTACAAATGATTTATTTTTTTTTATATATAACTCTGTTTGTCATCTCTTGAATCTATATTAATATATAGTCTTGCTTCTTTTGTAATAAACTAAAAATTAAGAAGCAAAACGGTCTAGAAAATTGAACTTACCTCAAACATTTCTATTTTAACATGACAATCCACAAGCTTAAGATATGAAACTTAGTAACACTAGAATATTGATGATCTACACACACACACCCGAAGTTGTGCTATATAGCTCATGAAACACTAAATTGCAAATAAATGGTCTTCCCTTATTACCAAAATTACTTCATATACTTAAAATTGGATGCATAATCTTTCAAGTACCAAAAATACTATAAATAAGCAGTTAAAATAAACAATGTAGGTACTTTTGCGTGTATTTATCAAGAAGGAAAATAAAAAAACCTAGACAATTGGAGATACTAGAAAACTTTATCCACTATAACCAAGATTTTAAAAAGCAGCCGCAACCGTTACGTAACGCGGTTACATAACGGTGTGGTGCTTAGCACCACTCGTTACGGCCACTATAGCGGTATGATGGAAATTCATATTTGTAACGGCCGTTTCAATGGTATTTTTTTTTTTTTTTTTTTTTTTTTGAAGGAACTTTATTGATAAAGAAGAAAAACCATACTAGTATGAGATTACATCAACAAAAGAAAGGCAAGAAACAAGGAGTATCAAAATGATTCGTCATAATCCCAACTAGGTTAGCACTAAGAGGAACACACATGCTAGTTCAGGTCCAAGGTTGGCGTGGATCCAACAAAACAAAGGAGCAATAATACAGAACACACCCCATAAACACCTTAACAGCAACCACAACTAACTCTAGAACAGTTAAATTGCACACATCAGTTGACAAAATGAGGCAGCAGACCAAAGCACCAACCTGCTGTCATACAAACCAAATAAAAACAAGCCGTACACACTAGATGGTGGTAGGCCAAGGTAGCAAACTAGCTAGCAGCCCTCAACTGCAATCCTTAATCTGATCTAGATTGTTGATTAAGTCCATGACAGAGTACATGATCCCCTTTGATGAAGCTTTAATCTGAAGAGCAAATTGGATCTTAATAATCTCATATAACTCAGACCCACTAGGTTGCACTCCATTAAATATACAATCATTTCTTAACTTCCAAATGGACCAATCGTGATGGTGTTACGTAACGGTCATAGTGGTACCGTAATGGTCCGTTACACACTTTTACAATATTTTGAATAGTTTCCTTGTCAAAAAAAAAAAAGAAAAGAAAAAAGCTTACAACAAAAGAACAAATATTTAAGTGATCCAAAAAAAATAAAAATAAAATAAAATCCTTATATGAATTTTTCTTATTTATAATTTATAATTTATTTATAATTTTTATTTTATTTCATTAGCATGTAAAATAAAAAAATATATAAACGCTGGTTGTATTTATTTTTATAATCATTTTATTTAATATTTAATTATAAACATTTTTTATTTTGTTATTGTAATATGTTGTCTAAAAAATGCCTTTTAAAAATAAATTTCTTTACAGCACAATTTTTATTTTTACATTCATTTCATTTAATACTTAATTATAAATAATTTTATTTAGCTAGCTATAAAGTGGGAAGGTTTGTGTGAATCTATATTAATGCATACCGCCTTATGGGTAAAATACCATGCAAAAGGGGTGAGTTATTCTGTTGGTAATTGTGAATATTTTTTATATAGTTAGTTTAGGTGTTGGTCAAAAAAAACTTTGTAGGCATTTAAAATCAATTATTTTAAACTCATTAACTATTGAAATAAAATTAAAAGCTCCTTTTATAGTGATTTAAGAATATGAAATATATTTGATCATACTTAAAAATAAACAAATGTTGATCAAAATCTATTTTGAATCCCAATAAATGTGATTCTAAAAAAAAAAATTATGTGTATCGGTAAATTTTTTTTAAATTGTGCAAAATATAAAAAAAAATCACAGTTCTAGTTACCGCAACCGTTACACTACGTCATTTACATCCGCAACTACAATCGCGCCACCACAACCGTTACGACAACAACAACCAATGAATGACATCAATCAGAAGCAAGATCTGAGTGAAATAATTGTAGTTAGTACTTCGTAGCAGAAATCATTGTCTAAACTCAATAATGATGGAATGAATATGATGAATTTGCAGAAGTATCGAATTTTCTTGAAGCGAGTTTCTCAAGCAAGCTATAAAATTCAATCTGCCACTGAAAGGAACATGGTTGAAAGGACCTTTCGATCAACTTTCGCATCGGGACGACCTTCTTCCTCAATGTTCAATAGATCGCAGCTGCGATGTGGAGGGTATATCCCAGTTCCCAACCTTGGCAATAATATTTCATGTTGTTCTACCCAGGAAACTTCATCTACCAACTTCTCCATGCCTCGATTCGGATGCACCCAATCACTTCTACTATGCAATCAAGGTAATTTGAAGAAACCAACCATTGGCAATGGTAGTGCAAAACGTCCTTATAATCATCAAACCAGTTTGTTGCTCCATGGAAATACTTCAGGTGGCACTGGCCTCATGACTGGTCCAAATTTGTTCGAAATGTACCAACAAAAGAATCAACTAGCACCACAGACACAGAGCTTTAACAATGGCATGTTGAACTACAATTCTACTACATGTGGAGTTCACGGCTACAATGATGTCGGTATCACAGGCTATGGAAAAATGGGGGCTTTCAACAATTCTAATAACTTGAACCTTAAACCTAAACCCAATGGCAATTCCTACAAAAATAATGATGCTGGATACCGAATGGCTGGTGATGGGAGGTTTGCTGGATTAGGATTTAAGGGTGGGGAGGCATCAACAAATTATAACAGTAACAATTTCTTGATGAATGGGAAACAAAATAATGAAAGTATGATTACTATGCCGTTGTTGAGTGGCAATTTTGGTGATCATTTGGCACAAGAAGTGATCACTTCTAATGGGTTTCAGAGCCAAGGTCAAGTCTCGCCAACAACATTTAATCGTGCCATCCAACAAGAAAACAATTCAGTGACGCCAATGCCATCCACACCTCTAGTGCAACAAAACAGTTTTGGGAATGGACAGGGAGAAAGTGACCGTTTCTTTGGTCTGTTGGATAATGTCTCAGACTTTGATAGCAACTCTTTCCTACAACCATTTGGAGAAGATGATCTTAGCTTTAATTTCTTGAACCAAATCAACATTCAATCTCCAACTCAGGTATGGAAAAAGCTTCTGTTACTTTTACTAGCTGAACAAAAATTGTTAATCTTCTTGGAACTTTATATTTTCTATCCCAAACTGCATAAAGTGATACAATAATGCCTCTTTCTGTTTTTGGTTTTTAAATGTGTAACAGCAAGATGGTTCTTTCAGTCAATATCATGTGGAAGCTAACCTACTAGTGAACCAGCAGTCCCTTGGACAGGCATGTACCCACTTAATTAATCCATAATCAATATCAAGGTTGATTGAATATATATATATATATACTTTTTATATATGAATGTTTCATTTTACTCCAAAGTATTTCATTCAGAAACCTGGTGGTGGTGAGATGGTCTCAAACTTTGACAGTGCCAAGAGTCAATCAGATGAATATGTTCCATCATTTGAGCAGAACCCTAGTCAAGCAAGTTTTGTGTCTAGTTGATTTGAAACTTCTTCCCTTGATAAATAAACTGTATAATGGGGTTCCTCTAACTCTTTTTAAATTTTAGATTAATTACACCAATATTATTAAAGTAGGCATTTTGTTGTATCTTAATTCCCAATCATTTACAAAATGTAAATTTAAATGATCTCAACTAAGTCATGGGAATGTGCTGGGACTTAAATATAAGACCCAAACCATGATTTTTGACTGATGAATAGGTTAAAAATCTTTCAAAGCCAACGTTGACTTCGGGTAAGTCGAAAGCCCAGCTTGGCCATATGAGCCTAATTTGAGTTTTAATTCAATTTTCTTTTTCTTCTTTTTTTTTTAAATTCAAAATTTATTTATAATAAAAAATTTTAAAATGCAATACAAAAATTAGATTTTTATATTGAATCATAAAAAAATTAAAAACAAACATTATTTATTGAAACATAAAATTAATACACATATTATGGTTATGTTATGAAATTATATATATCATTAATCTGGTGATAATATAATTATTAATATCATAGTTGGCATCCTACTCACTTAATTTATTAGTTTTAATTTTATTCTTTTATTAAAAATGCACACATACACAAAAAAGTTATTTTTTAAAAAAAGAAAGAAAAAGAAAGAAAGACAGAGATGTACCTGTACATGAAATTAGACGGGGAACTTACTGATAAGTCCCATGTAACAAGTTCAAAACCCAACTAATCCCAAAACAAAATACTTGCACCAATTAGTCCAACACATTTTTAATTGTTACCAAAAAATCCTTTTTTTTTTTTTTTTTAAATTTATAGACACTGTTCACATCTTACTACTGTCGGACTTCCGTTTAACGGTCGCCGGAGACTCACCGGAATGTCTAGAATATTGCCGGAAAAAAAAAATTAAAAAACATGTTATGAAACTGTAAAATTTTACAGTTCTAAAGAATGTTATAAAACTGTAAAATTTTACAGTTTTAAACCATGATTCATTCCAGCACCAAAAAAAAAATTTGAAACTGCAAAATTTTACAGTTTTCACCGCCTGTAACTAAAACTCGAAAACTGCTTGTTCAGAATTCGAAAATTTTCTCCATTAGAACAGAAAAACAGAAGTGTATAGCAGAGAGAGAGAGAAAAAAAAAAAGAGATCGAAGGGGAAAGACGGATGTCTAACCAAATCTGTGTAGATCTACTCAGATCTGATGTAGATCTGAGTAGATCTATATCAGATCTAAGTAGATCCATTCATCATCTTCGTTGGAAAATATATCATCTTCTTCGTCGGAGTTGATTTCAATGCTTGGTGGTTATCAATGAACCCCGATCAATGGAGAAAGATATGATCACCGGTGGTCCTCTTCCATGACAAACACGGTGACAGAAAAATGTTGGCATCCTACTCACTTAATTTATTAGTTTTAATTTTATTCTTTTATTAAAAATGCACACATACACAAAAAAGTTATTTTTTAAAAAAAAGAAAGAAAAAGAAAGAAAGACAGAGATGTACCTGTACATGAAATTAGACTTTATATGCCTGGTTTTGGGCTGGGCTCTGAAGAGTCCATTGGAGTGAGCTGATGGGCCGACCCACGGACCCTCCCTTTGGGCCTGAGCTCAGTACATAATGTATTGCGAATTGCGATTACATGCCCATGAACTCCATTGTATTAAGAGATTTCAGCTTAACAACACTCATTTCTAGTTTGAGAATAAACTATTTTAGTAATTTTTTTGTTAAAATATGATGTGAAACAAAATAATAAGCTTGGGATGATAGTGTGAATTTTTATAAGAAAAAAAAAGGTACAAAAAAATAGAAAAAAATAGAATTTTTGACTTTTTTATATAATTTTTGGACTTTTTGACTACAATTTATGTTGCCAAACATACCGTTAAAGTCAAGGAGTCATGGCTTTTGCTGGTTGAGCTCTTATCAACTAACTTTTGGCATGTGTTAGCACATGATTGGGTGGCTTTCTTGTGCCAACCTAGTTGGGATAAGTAAGGTTCACTATGATGCTAGTAGCACTACTTTCTTTTATCTTTATTGATGTTAGATGTAAGAATTTCTCCTTGGCCCTAATTCAATAAAATTTATCTTTGCTGATAAAAAAAAAAGGAGTCATGGTTCTCCTAGTAATGCAGGCCTTTTATTTTTTATTTTTTATTTGAGTTTTTGCTCCATTGTCTTTCCCACATGTTGAGATTTCATTTTTAAGTTTGATATTCCTGGAAAATTTCCTCACCGAAATTCAGTTTTGATTTTTGTTTGCAGCAAGATGATGAAGAATTCCTGAAGTCAGTGTTTGCCCCTGGTGAGTTTGACTAGGATGATAACCCTGGACGACTCTGAATCCAATTACAACCATGAAAAAGCTTCTGTGCCTATCTAGTAGTTACATCAGATTTTGAAGTTATTACCAGCATATCATAGCATAATGCATATATGCACATTATCTATCTGTAAATGCTATCAGAGATATGGACTCGTATATATAGCAGCTCAATATAGAGCTTGGATATGGTTTCAAGAGTTTTTCGAGCTTGCTTGGAAATAACTAGCCTTTCAATTTTGCAGCTTTATGTGGTTAGCATATATAAATGACTTCGTATTTGGACGTATATATAATTAAGAAATTAGAACTTGCTGTGTGGAAGGTGTTTGCTAAGTAACACACACGCACACAAAACAAAGGGATTTTGTGGTTGAAATTTATTTTAAGAGTGATTCAAAACATATCCTAGATGAATCTTTACCCGTACAATATATTTTTATGTACATATCTTTGTATTTTAATTACGTGCTCTAGCATTTTTGTTGGCAAGGCCTTGAAAATTGTTTTCTTGTGTTTTCAAAAATAAAAAAGCATAGAAAATTTTGAAAAGATTCCTCCTTTTCATTTTTTTCTTGGCAAATTTTTTTTAAAAAAAAAAGAAAAAAAAAAATTGAATGGTTCCAAAAAGAAAAAAAAAAGGAGTCATTTCAAGAACCCCAATTTTAAATTTCTTTAACACCTTAAATAATTTCAAATTTACCTCCACCAACCCTTTGTTTTTTTTAATCGACAAAATAAAACATTTTTTGATACACAAAGAACTCATAACATCATGAAAAGAAAAACAGTGATGCTAGAGATCTCTAATTTAGAGGCTCTAAACACACCTCTAATGAGGTGGAAAGGGGGGGGGGGAAACACATCACTAGTGGCACCTCTAATTAGAGGTCCCAAGCTTTATTGAAAGAAAAAAGATGGCTGCAAAAAGCATTATAGCGAGACATACCGATCCTAATTAGGTTGTCACCAATATGTCCACCCAATCTCTTACTAACACATCATCAAAAGTTGATGAGCTGCCAACCAAAGCCAAAAAAAAACAACAATTGACATACCCATACCAACCCTTTCACCACTAGTTGTCATCCCAAGCACTAAAGCCAACCAACCACCTCTCCCTTCCTTCCTTGATGCTTGCTAACCCCTTGCATTTCTTTGTTGCCACCTATAGTCCCTTCCTCACCACCAACTCTCACCCCTTGCAACACACATACCACTCCACCTCCTTTCTTCCCGTTCTTGCTTCCCTCTCATTACCTAGATGCTTCATTTTCTTTCCATTTGAGAACTCCAAATCCCCTACCCTCCTCTTCCAACCCCAATGCCTCTTCTTTCATTACCCAACATTGACTACCTATCACCATTGATTTACAGAGTTTAGAGAGAGAGAGAGAGTTGCATAGAACATAGATCTAAATATTGGCCGATATTCGTACCGAAAAATCGAAGCACCGATTTGGATATGGACTGCTATAGTGGTGAGAATGAAATTCGTAGTCATAGCGTCCGAGTCTCAGTACGTAGCAGTCTGAATTTGATATCCGATACAGGTTGATTGTCGCCAATACGGATAAAAATCAGCGTAGAGAACCTGTAAGATCTAAGCTTCTTTGGGCTGTGGAGTACACTTTGACCTTCAAGCTTCTTCAAAGAAGGTTTGTCCCTGAGTTACAGGTTGTAATATGTGTTGTCAACACTTGTGCTCTATTTTTGGTGAGTTGTTGTGCTACGTTTTGTTTTTTGCTTCACATTTCATCCCCCTCACCATTTTTTTGTTTTTTTTTTGTTTTCTTGTTTTTGTCTTTTTTTAGTGTAAATGTTTAGCGTCTTCCCCCCCCCCCTATTTATTTGTTTGTACACCTACTTTTTGCACATTAATGTTCCATCATCATGCTCTTTTATAGACACAAATTTTTTTATTTTGAACAAAAAAATAATTCAATTTTTTCAAAAAAAAAACAATTAGTCTTTTTTTGTTGCATATAAATTTTTTTTTTAGTTTTTTCAATTTAAAGGTTGACATTTTAAAGTTTTGAAAATCAAAATAAATATTAAATTATCATATTTCTTTATAAATAATCATAGATGATAAACAATCATTGTTTGAATGATAATTTTGATTATTAAAAATTTAATGGAATTTGAAAATCTAAAAAATCTTAATTAAAACTTAATAGAGTATAAGTTCATAAATTAAAATTTATGTGTAAATGTCCCATATTTATTTTAGTAACTTTTTAAAATATTATTATTATTATTATTTTTTTGATCGGCAAAAGAAATCTTTTTTGATGAAAACATATAAAGGATGATAAGATATATCAATAAAGAAGAGCTTGGAGCTAGCACAAGCTCCAAGCTCCAGTTGGTGAGAAACCAACAGACAAAGCAATATCCACAGCTGGGCACAAACAAACAACCAATAGCCACTGTTGGGCATAAATAGACCCACAAAATAGTTTCAAAACGGCTTCAACACAACCATAAGTTGCCAGCTTCTACTAAAAGGTAGAGTAACCAGGACTATTAGCAGACTAGCAGATCAGCAAGACTATTAGTAGGATAGCAAACAGCTTCAACCCTTTGATCCTCTTTTTAGCACAACAGAGCACTATAGCCGAGCATACCGATCGACTAAATCCAGCTTGACAGATTAACTCAATGGAAGCCCTTT